CTTAGTAGTGGTTTTCCATCTTAGCATGCTAAAAAGGTTGCATATCTAGCGCTAGAAAAGATCTTTTAACTAGTTTTACCTATTTTTCGGTCATTCATTTCAAACGGAATGGATGTTGCTTTTTCTAAAGACTGACCTGAATCCACAAAACACCGCCACGCCCATGATGGGATTGTCGGATGCAATGAAAAAGCCTTTCCTGCAGAATCACATTCCACATCCCGCTTTGTTTCTCTAATCAAGAAGAAATTGTACAACGAGCGGTTAAAGTACTTTATTTTGTATGAGTGAAAACAAAAGTTTCTCATACGTCATTTCAATAGAACACGAAGAAAATGCGAGAAAAAAATCCTTTTCTTTCCTTCCGCATAGGCTACCTAATGTCACATTTGTCTTTCTGTATGCAAATAAAAAAGATTTGCTATACGCTAAGGCTCTATTGAGAAACAACGCTAATCAACATCAAAAAAAATATTGATCGAAAAGGTCTCATCACTAGAGCATTAAGCGAAATGAATGCGTAAACTGCAACATCGTCGAAATTTAAAAAAGTCATCACACATAGCTTATGTATTGCTTGAAAGCACGTTGTATATGATTTAGTATACTGAATGCCTTTATTCTGTCTCTTTATTTAGATATACAAAATATGCTATTGACGAATGACGGCAATGATAATACAACTACAAAACATTACGGTGCTATTAATGATGATTTAAATGGAAAAGAAACGAATGAACCGAAAAATAGGTAAAACTAGTTAAAAGATCTTTTCTAGCGCTAGATATGCAACCTTTTTAGCATGCTAAGATGGAAAACCACTACTAAGCAAGGAAAAGGATCTTTTCCACCACCATCCAAAGCTGTTTTTATACAGCTTATTTAATTGAGTATTGGAATGTTCTCCTCCTTGATAATTTTATTTAAAGACTGTGGCGCTTCAACTTAGAACAAGTCTTTATCAGACATAGTACACTATACATAAAAACAGCTTTTCTTCCATGCTGTTCGTTACTGCTATATCGACGGTAAGACTGGAAGATGACTCATTGTTTTTCGTCTTTCATTCTACTATCACCGTTGTCCATCAAGTTCAAATGTTCTTTGTTTATTGATGTTCCTGGATATATTATTGATGATCATGCCTTCATTTATTGGATGACGACGAATGACATTTGGCGAAGGCTATAGTATAAAACGAAGGTCTACTTCTGGACGTATTTTCTTCGCAAAATAATGATTGAACATGGGATGCCGAAAGATATGCACCCTGATGTATTTTATAATGAGTCTGAGGACGATTTGGATAATATCGATGAAACACGTGATATGGTCGGACCATTTCGAAATAAACATAAAACAAAATGTCAACCATATCCTAATACGGCAGCTCTTAGGAGATCAACTAGAATACAAAGTAAACAAACGGGTACAAAAGCAAATACCATACTAAACGACTTCGCGATTTATACTGACAAAGACAAATCTTCAATAGCCAAGCATAGAACTGATAGTGAACATGCTATAGATTGAGAAAATTTTGGATTTGTCTGACGAGATCGAAACCCTTATTGTTTGCTTTTCAAAGGATCACTTGTTGTTCAAACTAATAAGCCAGAGCTAAATTGCACTACGCACTCTGTGTCGATGATCCACAAGATCTTTCAAAGAAGTTTGTACCTAATCCCTTTAAAAAGAAAAAACGATAGTATTTTATATATTTCATGTCTTCATCTTCAAGGCCATTTAGTTTATCGGTATTATATTTTCCTCTCCTTCTATGTCTTATAACGTGATCTTTCACCTGCTCAATACGACAAAAAGAGAATTACGATCTTTTCTGTACGGTTTTTCTTTTTGCATGTCATAACTAGTAAATTCAATCAGCTAGTGCACACGTTTCTGTATATATTCTTGAAAATGAACTTTTAAAGCTCGAAGCGTTGAAATATATTTAAATTTAAATTTAATTTATGAGTTTACTAAAATGAAAATTATTGCTGTTACATTGTGATGTTTACTAGATAATTTGAGGTTTCTAACACACTTATTAGTTTCGTCAAATGAACTTGTTGTGCTTTGAGATCTTTTGGTGTGTGAATTGCATCTTTGTAATTATGTTTCAGTTGATTGAATTTAGTGACATGAGTAGTAATTGTAAGTGGCTGCTGAACCACCTAATGTCGATTTGTTCCTGCTGTGATATTCCATGCTGTTATAACATCATTGTTTTAGCAGTGGTTTCAGGAAAACAATCGACAGAAAGCGTTGTGTTTAACGACACAAGGAGACCGAACCTTACAAGTATGATCATGTAATAGACTAAGGAACTAGTTTTTGATAATGTGTTGTCTAAGAAGTTGGTCTTATTAACTTCATCGTTTTAACGTGGATTAATGAGTGTCTGAGATGCCATAGCTTACATTTCCGAATGTGTGGGTGAAAACATTGTTTATGGATCGTAGATCACTTTTTTTTTCAGATTTCAACTATTTAAAGCAAAAATTGGCTATACGAAGTTTGATCAGGAAGAAAGCGATGACGAAGAGACTACTTTGGGCGGAAAAACAACAAGTAACGAAGATAATATGGTTGACTTCTTTAGTCTTGTAAGTATTGATCGGCGTTTGTGTCAGATGATGTACTACTATTCGCTCTAAAATATAGTCACTTGGTTATTTTTTAAATAACTTTTGATAGAAGATAGATAGAAACCTGCGGTTTTCACCAGCGTGTAGCCACGACCCTAGAACATCTTTTTGCAAGCAGAAAATCAACAGGAAAAATATCCTAAAATCCGTCCAAATTAACTCAAATTTTCAGGAGGCACTCAAAACACGTCACAGAAACCAGATCGAGCCGAAAAAGACTGTTGTAAACCACTGTTACAAAGAAGGTTTTCCAGAAACCTCCTCCAAAACCTCATCACCTTAAGTTACAGCTAGGGTTTTTTTATTCTGTCACTTTTTACACATTGATGCTTACTAGGGGCCGTACATAAAGATTTCACGTATGAATGACAGACGCTAATTAACCGCATTATATGGAATATTTTACAACGAAAAATGTTAAATAACATATACTGTTATTTCAAGAATAATGTTAAACAACTGAATGAGAAGACGAAAATAGAACTTGACTGTGGCTGGAACTGAGGACCATGACTACGAACAACTGGCATAGAGGATTCCGTTTTAATCAAAGCTTTCTAACTAGAAAATTATTTTCATAATGTTTAGTTTAAGTTTGCAAGGCCATTGGATAAATTGTATCTTTTACTTGGTACATTAGCCGCCATTGGAAGAGGAATTATAACAGCACTCTTGTTTCTATTATTCGGTCGTTTGACTACCCTTTTTACTCAACAACAATTTAATCAATGTCGTATTGACTGGGATAAACTAAGTAGAGAATGTCCGAAAAATATTATATTAAATTCTTATAATTTTTTCTTTTTTTACAGGTAAAAATACCCTATTTAGTTTTAGACAGAAGTAGTATGTTTCTTTTTTAATATAGATTATGCAATATACAGTCGTATATAGATGAGTTATCAGGAAAAAATTTCCAAGAAGATTTGAATCAAACACTTAACTACTTTTTCGGTAAGAAGCATGTTATAAAGAAGAACTAGAAAATAAAATAACGTGAATCGCATCGATTCACTAAGTCCATTGACTCTAAGTCAAATGAATGTCATGTCGCGAATATTATTTTATTCTGTTGTAGCCCGATGTTATTACTACAGAATTGATGCGTATTTTCACGATGAGTGCTTGCATATTTTCCATCGTAGTTTACAGAAGTACTTGCTATAGCTTTTCACAGGCTAGAAAAGTTTATCAGAATTTCTGTAGTTCATCGAGACTCTGTAATTTGATTTGCTTTCATGTACTATACAGACGTTCGAAATAGACGAATAGATCACTCTTCTTACCCTTGATAACAAAACCTGAGTGGGGGCAACGTCTGGCCTAGTCCGTCGAAACAACGCTTACACCTCCCTTCGATCGGTGTTCGCTAAGGACTATCAACCATGCGTTATGAATACTTCTCTGATAATACTTCTCTGATGTGTCACCTTCGTAAAGTAGCTTCAATCTATACATATTTACTCCAGAGCGCCCAAAGAACCCCAGAGGTCTACAAATACTTCTGAATTACAGGCAACGTCCCTGTAATTTGCATTGGTTTTATCTGACAATCCAAAGAACCTCAGAGGTCTACCAATATTTCGAAATTCCAGATAATGCTCACGCGTCCCTTCGGTCCGCGCTCGCAGCCAGGATAGGTGTTACAGGTCTCTGATTCCACAGAAAACGCGAGCGCATCTACCCATATGGATCTTTGTCCGTCACACTCATTAGTGATTATATGTATGTACGTCCGTCACACTCATTAGTGATTATATGTATGTACGTCCGTCACACTCATTGGTGACTATATGTATGTACGTCCGTGACACTCATTAGTGATTATATGTATGTACGTCCGTCACACTCATTGGTGACTATATGTATGTACGTCCGTCACACTCACTGGTCACTATATGTATGTACGTCCGTGACACTCATTAGTGATTATATGTATGTACGTCGGTCACACTCATTGGTGACTATATGTATGTACGTCCGTCACACTCATTGGTGACTATATGTATGTACGTCCGTCACACTCACTGATCACTATATGTATGTACGTCCGTCACACTCACTGGTCACTATATGTATGTACGTCCGTCACACCTCTGTACGGACAAACACACAAACACTTTGTACTTTTTTGTATGACCAAATTTTTTTCGTATGACCATAGACTTACAGTCAATGGAACTAGAACAAAATTACAAAACGAGATAAAGCTTAAATGGCTCCTTGTCCAACAAAACAGTGATTAACGAATACTTTGAAAATTCAGTGGTCTAGTAGAACCTAGTGAACGTTTCAAAATACATTCCGGTCGGTCGCTATTCCTCTGTCATTCCTCTATTCCTCGATTATTTCTCTATTATAGAACGTATCATTGTATAATAGATTTGCTACCTATATAATTTATATATATCGAACATCATTTCTTTTCTAATTGATTTGCTTACTTCTTCAAAGACAATCAACCGCTATGTTTCAAAAGATTATTCTTTTATCACTATCATATTTAAAGCAAGACGAGAACTTTTCATTTATAGTTTATTCTACTCTGATACGATTAAAACGTTTCTGTTTAATGAATAAAATCAGAAAAGAACAAATTTGACATTTCCACCAAATGTTGATTTTTCATATACCCAAGAGAGTGCTCACTGCGAATTTATTTCGTAATCTGCCAACTTTGTGACTTTAATTTACATTAATTAGAGAAGACTCACTTCCGTTTTTTGTACGAGTTTAAAGTGCACAACTTGTACCTGATACTGAACTGGTTTTTTCAAAACGATCCCTTTTAGTTTTTGAGAGCAATGACTATGAATATCGTTCATTATCGTTTAAAAATGCAGTTTTTTGGAATCATAATCAAACAGGGATATTGCTTATACGGTTATACCTGAATAACTGGTACCGGTTGTAACCGATATGTCTGTCTCCTTTTGATCCTATGGTTAGTAAAGAATTCGGCATTTTAAATGTGCTTGCTACAAAAAGTTGCATTTTTAAACGATAATGAACGATATTCATAGTCATTGCTCTCAAAAACTTAATCTGTACAACGAAGCAGTAAACCGTTTTGAATCGACAAATCTAAATCAGTTTCTCTTATAATAATAATAAATGTCACAGTTCCACGATATTTATAAAAATAAATGCTCTGTAATATAGGAACAATAAGGAAGTCTGAAACTGTATATTCATGACCTAAAGTTATCCGCTTTAAGGGACTGAAATATACAGATATTCACGATTTACTGCACTCACAAAGCGACGATGCAGAAAAAAGCTTATTGGTTTCGCTGTTAGCCTGTCTCTAATGATACCAGTTTCAATGACCGACTTCAAAAGTCACCAGCGATCGCGGTCATGAACTTTCGATCTGTCTTCGACATAAGTACAATTATTTTATGCAAGAAGGGTATTGTCTCCTACCAAAGTATAAATGTTCGGACATAAACATACTTTAACTATGATATTTTGCTCCACTCAGTTGTTTTTACTCATGTCCGTAGTCTATGTTCTGGTGCTCTTAACAATAATAATGGGTACTTATTCGCCTCCTTCATGGTCACAGATAAATCTTTTCTTTTTCTTTTAATAAATAGCTTACAAGAAAGACATTTTGATATAGCCAACAGTCCGATGAAGAATGCATGTTGTTTGCTTTGAGACTTTATCGCTGCTATATCTAATGTTTTTTTTCGTATTTATAGTTATTAAAAGAAAGTTTCACATGTTTGTGTATTGTAGGACTTGGTTGTCTTTCATTATTATTTGGTTATTTGAAATACTTATTATTTTCCATTTCGAGCGAAAGACAAATATATCGTATACAAGAAACGTTATTTCGTTTTATTTTGAATAAAGTAACATTGTTTCTCTCTTTAC